TCTCCCTGTTCCTTCTTCTCTCTCTGTTCCGTCTCGCACCTCGTAATAAAAATAATAAATAAACACAGCCAGCCGCGAGGCGGCGGCGCGGGGGCCTCCGTGGGGGTTTATATTGCGTTCATAAAGCGAAACTCATTTCAAGGAGCTGCTTGCCGCCCCGGCGGCCCTCTCCAGCGGCAGGTCGCGGTGCCCCGCCCCACCCCGCCCGGGGATGGGCTGCCTGTTGGTGCCAGCCACGACGCACTCATCAAACATTGACGCGCGCGCGGGGTGGGCGCAGTCGGTTATTGCTATTTGAGTTGTGAATATTAAACGAGTCGGAAGAGAACGGCAGGTAATTAAGAACACTGAAAGAGGCGTAAGCAGGGGGGGGGCTGCCTCTAGAGGGGGCGCCCTGCGCACTTCCGGGTCCCGCGCCGTCCGTCCGGGGAGGATCAAGCAGCTAGCAGCCATGCAACAACAGTGAAGGAAAGAGGCCCCGAGGAGGAAGAAAGGGCCTTCCCCCGGGCACGATGACGAGAGTGCGCCAGGCTCCAACCCCTCCACCCAAAAGAAGAAAAATAATATTGCTCATACTTAAAGCTCTCTTTATATTTCTCCATACAATTATCATTTAGTCACATACCAGGTGGCTGATTTAACCCGCTCACTTCTGTTGTTATGCTGTACCGCACGCACGAGTGCGGGCGGGTTGCCTACTCGCTCGGCCCGTAAGCCGCCGTGGACAGTAGGGGCGATAGGCAAGCCCGTCCCCAATACAGTAGTGAGCGGGGTAAATCAGCCACCTGGCACAACCGCACACAGCATTGCATGACCTGCATGACACGTTTATCAACCTTCCACCATTATTCGCAAACGTATTTTGTTTTGGGCCATAAACTATTCTCCCATAAGAATTTGTTTTAACACTTAACGCCTTCTGTGTTTCTGCAGTTTATCACTCACACACAGGCACCTCGCATGACGGTTATCATCGACCTCCGTCTATTATTCGCAAACGTATTTTGTTTGTTTTTTTGGTGCTGAAAAACTATTTTTTGCCGTCCCCCCACTCATTGTACGCAGGCCTCCCGTTTGTACAACTCTAATTCCGGCCCTATCGCTGTTTGGCCGGCTGCTGTGGTGCTGGGCCCGCGGGGGACGCGCAGGCGACAACGACGTAACTGGCGGCAGAGCCCCGTTCAGTTACGGGGGTCCGCCTTGATCGGCCTCGTTAACAAAATTAGGCGATGGACCGCGGGCGTCATTACACGGTCATTAGGCCCACTGCGCGAGCCGCGGCGCCCCGCCACGCCCCGCCACGCCCCGCCACGCCCCGCCA